CCTAGCTCCTAGTCCAGTTAGTCCAGTGCTCCACCTGCTTCATGCCTCTGCTCAGCTGTGCTCATCTGGAATAGTGCATAGCACAACCTCTAGCTTCATTTCCGAATCATCTGGTTTTCTAGCAAAAGGAGAAAAGAACAGCATGTGAGGGGGTAAAGCGAGGTCTGAAATCAGTCAGAACCATTCAACGTGATTTCCTCAATGCAGAGTGAAATGTATTATATTTAGTAGAGAGTATTCCCAGCTTTTCCAGAGCTGCTCTTCAATGGCTACCCAGGTTGTTTTGTATATTGGGTCCTGTATTAGGTAGGACATATGCTCAGCAGGCCAGAATCTCAAATAACAGTGATTCTAACAAGAAGTGCAGTTATGTTTTCCCCGTGGGACTTTCTGGATATCCAGTTTAGGGCTCTTTTGGCAGCTTTCCTCAAAAACCCAGGTGCCTTCCATCCCATTGGTCTGCCAAGCTCCGGTGCCTTCCTCTCAATGGTCCAGAATGGGCTCACTACCACATCTGCATTCTACCCAATAAATGAGGAAAAGAGGAAAGACAGGGAAGGTACCCCTTCCTTTTTAAGGAATATCTCAAAAATTGGCCTCAGCACCTTCACCATTGAACAAAATCTAGCCACATGATCACACCTAGATGGAAGGGAGGCTGGGAAATGTAGTCTCTCAGTGGCCATGAAAATTCTATTTGAGAAAGAAGAGAATGGATACTAGGGGACAAGTCATCAAGGTCACAAACTGGAGAAGGCAGTTGGCCCTCTGAAAACCTGGGTGCTAGCCTGACAATTAGTTGTGCTATGTCTAGCAATCAAGTGATTGGAAGCATATTAAGCCATGGTGTGTTTTATGAGGGAAACCAGACCCACTGTTGCCCTTGAGGGCAGTTATATAAACTCTTTGTATCTAGTTTCATCACTTATAAAAGGGGGATAAAAGGACTGACATCTAAGGTTGTGTAAAGATTAAAAGAGGCAGTGGTATGCAAAGATCTTATAAATTCCAAAATGGAATGTAAATGAAGACTATGATGATTCTGTCAAATCATAAGATGAAAGTTCATTGTTGTGGCAATCTGTGAAGAAGAAAGGAGCCCTGAGGAAGAGCTCACTTGGTTCAAAGTTGCCTTTGTTTTCTCCTTTGAGCTCAGTGAAATGACTAGCCTTGCTATCCTTTTCTATAGGTGTAAATTCACTGACCACATGACAACCACCTGTGGTCTTCAGGAGATAAAGGAGGCAAATTTTGGACTGGGTTTTGCATCTCATAAAAAACTAAACAAAGGGTGGTGCCTGTGGCTCAAGGAGTAGGGTGCTGGCCCCATATGCCAGAGGTGGTGTGTTCAAACCCAGCCCTGGCCAAAAAAAAAAAACTAAACAAACACAAAAGCATGGATTATTTTGCAGAAAAGCACCCAACTTTGCTCCCTGAATGGTGGGGGAGGGGCCTGGGGAGACTGTTGAATTCACTCTGGCCTCTGCTCCAAGAAAGCAATTTCTCTCACTCTGTTTCTCACTATCTTGTGTAGAAGTAAAGTCCAAAGAAGTAAACATCTTGACTTGTCTTCAAACTTCCACAAAATAACAAAACAAAGCAAAATACTTTGTCTACTTTGAAGAGGGCACATTCAGAACCTTCTCTAGTTTGTTGGAAGACTGAAGTGGTGATAAGATGTCTAAGGGCAGAAATAACAAAAATTTTTAGAACTGTGCAATATTTTACTAAAAATTGAAAGGTTTATCACAAGTTACAATATAGTGGAGAGAGACGCCACTTGAGAGATGCCATAGGAAGAAGTGATGGTGAAATCACTAAATTCACCCCATTTTCATTGTCTAGCTACTCAGTCCCCTGGTCCTCAAACCCTTATGCTGGATTGGAAACCATTAGCTTCCAAGAAACTAACCCCTACTGTTCAGGATGCACTCAGGTTGGAGATAGCACTAGTCTCCCATATCTATTATAATAAAGAGTTTCTGTGTTTTTAATGTCTACAAATATGATTTTTCTTGTTTTTTGATAGCAACATTTCCGATACATTAATGTTCTATTCATAGATAATTAGCAAAATTTGGTCTTCAATATTTATAAGTATTTTTTGTTTATTTAAACATTACTTAATATTTTTCACATGTGTCATCCAATTAGAAGTTGGGCTTTGGTGTCAAACTGAGCAGGGTTCAAATCCTCACTTTGACCCTTTCTAAATACCCTTCCTTAAGCAAGTTGTCAACTTTCCCAGGCTTTAGCTTCCTCCTCCGTAAATGAAAATCAGAATGATACCTGCCTGACAGGATTGAAGAAAGAATTAAATAAGGCTAAGTGTACAAAGTCCCCTTGTTCCCGGAACAGAGAAAACACCCTATAATGGCAACTAATGATAATTGTACTGGGTATTGGCTCATAGCTAATATCTGCCATAGCCCATGAAACCGTATCACCACAGCCATGTCTCATAGAGCATAGGGACTTCCCAGAGGAAAAGGGTCCTAAAGTGAAAACTTGGAAAAGCATCGAGTTGGTTTTAAAGTATTTCTTTGCTTCCACGAGAAAAGCCTGAAGGAGCAATTGGGAGAGTGAGTACCAGAGTCTTAAATCCATTTGCTATCTCTGGTCTGAGTTCTGCAACCACCAAACTTGACATGAAACCTAGGGACAGTAAATGAACCTTAGGTGCACAGATGCTGAGGGAAGCTCTGAAGGCAGGTCCATCATGTTCAACAGAGACACTTTGTGAAGCTGCAGATAGAATGGAGTGGGGATAAGGGGTAAGCAAAGGCAGGCTGGAGATAGATACCCTCTCGGACAGTGTAGAAATAGCCCAGTTAAGGGTTGGAAAGGGTCTGAACTAGGGCATGGAGGTGGAAAAGAAAGGGAGTAAGTCTGGAAGGCACAGTGGGGGCGGCTGGGAGCAGGTGGGCAAGGGAAAGCCAGCCATGTCTGGAATTGCCACCCAGGGCCTGGGGCAGGAGTACCGATGCTGTGAGCTAAGACAGAGGGGGCAGTAGTGTAAGCTACTGTCCTGAAGAGGTAATCTGTTTCAGTGGGACTTCTTGGCTTGATTTCTTTCTTTTGTTCATTCACTAGTTTTTTTATTCATTCATCAAAAACTGCTGCTTGAGCATTTGCCCTATGTCCCATATACTATGCTAAGTTTGGGGACACCGGAGAAATAAGAACCTGCTTCCCACCTTTCTCATCTTTGAGTGTGCAGAAGGTGACAGATAAACCGACAATTGCAGTACAAGGAGAGTGGTGCTAGGCTGAGTTGCACCAGGGACTCTGAGAGAGCATAGAGGAGGGGCATCTGACCAGACTGGGGGCTGGGGTCAGAGAAATGAGGTAATGTCTCAGCTGCACTGAGTCATAAAGGATGAGTGAGGTTGAGCCAGGGAAGAGTAGGGAGAAGGGCATTTCCCACAGAGGGGGCAGCAGGTTCAAAGGCCCAGAGGCATTGAATGGCATAAATTTTAGCCCTGCCAAGTTCTTAAGTATGACTAGAAAGTCAAATGCAAGGAGGGAACATGGGATGGTACTGGAAAGATAAACAAGGGGACACAAATATGCTGGTCTAAGGGGTTTTTAAAGCATGAAGTGCATGATCAAATTTGGGATTTAGGAGGATAACTATAGCATAGGCTTGTGGAGTCTACATTGGAGACACACGTGTGGTAGCATTGGTGGGGGGTGGGGAATCAGAGCCTGTTTTAATTATAAGGACTTGGTCTTAAATGGCTGTAAGGATGAAATGACCCCCCAAACACACTCAAGTGATACAGAAGGTGGAATCGGCTGTGTTGATAACTTATTAGAGGATGTTTAGGGAGGAGGGGTGAGCACAGAGAGGAAAGTATTAACAATTTTTGGCTTAGATAATGAGAAACAGAGAACACAAGAGGTGAATAAATGTTTTGTTTGGGTTTGGTTTTGGCAGTAGAGGGAGGAATAAGTTGAGCTTTGGTTATGTTGAACTTGAGTTGCTTGGTAATTGTTAGGTAGAGACATTCAAGGGGTAGTCACTTACTCGTTAGCACTGTGGCCTGGGGGACACAGCCCCTTCTCCAGAGCCCAAGGGGCAGCGAATCCTCTTCAGCTGTTTGTCTGGGAGATGTTGACACACACATCCCTTGATCCTAGTGGTTCTTAGTGGGGGGTTCCCTGAACCAGCGGTAGCTGCAGCACCTGGAAACTTGTGAGAGCTACAAATTCTTGGGCCCTTTCCCAGATCTACTGAATCAGAAGCAGCCCTGGAGGCCAGCCTAACAATTTGTTACAAGAAAGCTTCCTGGTTATCCTGATGCTATTTAAAATTTGAGGGCTAAAATTTTAGTCCCTATTTTGTAGATACAAATTGAGACCCCTGTTTGCTGTTTTGGCTAAGTAGTTTGCAAATGGAAAGAATTAACTGTAAAATTCCCGTCCTGGGAGAGATCATTACCTGCATTCCAGCAGCCTCCTACTTTAATCAAAGAATTCTGATATTAACAGCAGTATTGGCCAGTGTGGATGAGTCCTAGTCTAGGACAGTGTATAGATTTCAATAAAGGGTAATCCTCCACTCTTGAGAAATACGTCATGGGGGTTTCATTTTTTTTTTTTTTTTTTT